TTAGGATAGTCATATGTGCTCCTCATCCCATCTTCCTTAGGATGCCTAATTCTAGGAATTATACTACCTCTTAAGTTTTTCTGATGAGTTTTAATCTATTAGATATTTTCCATAGCTCTTAAACACACTCCATACTTCTTTATTCCAAAAATAAACATCTCACCTCACTATTAGTATCCAAAGTCACCACTTTCCTCTGTCTCATTCTTTATGACCACTCTTCCTTCACAAGCAGTAATAGCTCCCTGCCCCATTGTCTGCCTCCACACCCTCTCTCTCTTAAAATCTTGGCTATCTAATAAAACTGCAGGGATAACTGGCTGATTAAAATCACCTGTTCAAATTTTCTTATAAGAATCCTCATACATAATGGCCTTTTTCAACTTCAGCATCTCAATCCTCAATCTCTCTTTCTCCTTGAATCCTCTATTTCTTCCTTTTTGCTCACACTTGCTGCCTCTGTACTTCTCCCTACGTATAGGTATTGAACAGGACTGTGTATATATTTCTCTTTTCTTCTTTTCCAAACCAAATATTTCTCTAAAAGCAGCAACATCCATTCTATCAGTTTCATTTATTGTCTCTATTCAGAAGATCTAATGAAAATCATATTTAATGAGTGCTTATATTATGACAGTTATATTGTGGCATATATTATGTAATTTAATTTCCAAACAACCTTTATTAGCACTTAAGATATTTGAGACCCCGGGAAATTAATTTATTTGCACAAGGTTACACAGTCAGTAAATGAAATTGCAAAATTGAACCCAGATAGACTTACATGCAAGTCTCCTCCACCATTATGCTCTATCTCCAATCAAGGCTAGCCATAAAAAAAGGTTAGTTCGAGAATTAACTTAGAAGGTAACACACATGTACAGGAAATCAATGCGAGTCAACTCCCCGTATAGCTATCCTTATCTCAACTAGCAAAAACCCTTGGTCCTTCCTATTATTGCTTATACTCTCTCTTCAACAAAATTAGAGATAAGGGCAGAATAGTTTCTGCTGGGTAGCGAGTGGTAAGGAGGGTAAGGGAGGGAACAGGGGGGATAAGAAGGGGGAGGGGGGAGAAATGACCCAAACACTGTATGCACATATGAATAAAATAAAAATTAAAAACAATAAAAAAATAAAAGATACACAAACTATTCTCCCATCCCCCCTAAAAAAAAGGCTAGTTCAGCCTACTTAAGGAAGCTCCTCCTGATGACTCAGTGTGATATGATCCCCTTTGGGTCATCTTTATTATATTATATTTACATTTTTCTATCTATTATGACCATTTTTATTTACCTCCTCCCCCACACACACACCATTGCACTATTGATTTTGGGGGGAAGAGACTATGTTATTGATTTCATAACCCTTTCCATGTTGGCCTAGGACAGTGGAAAATACCCAGCCAAATAAGAGATCTGCCAAATTGAATGGAGGAGAATCATTTATAAAGGAGAGGGGTCCTCCTAACATGTCCCAACACCCTGTTTATTTCCAAATGTGACAGGAATATAGGAAGAAGACAAACCCAGGGAGTCACTTTGTCCTAAATAACTAGACATGGCAGAAGGTGGCTTAGGATCTGTTTATTTTCAAGGATATGAAAGAAGAGGTAGACCAAGTCAAAGTATATTACACATCACAACACGGTGCTTGCAGCAATAATACATACTACAATAGTACAACATGTTAAGCAAGATGTTATGCTTCATCTCCTTTAATAGGACAAAACCTCATATTTCAAAATAACCAAGCCCAGATCAAGAAATCTTTCCCAAGATGTATGACTGACCTCAATTTTAAGTAAAGGAATATAGTATATGAGTCACTTTCTATTTGTTAAGTCCTGAACATTTCCAGTGTGCTTATTCTCCATAAAGGTTTCTCATTTTCTCTCTTTGAAGTTAAATTTAAATCATATTACATTAAAAAATAAATGAAGTCATATGACAGAGATAAAAGAAGATATTGGTTGTGGGCTAAAGGACATTGGTGAAAATTTCTCCTTTGTTATAACTTTCTTGTGGAACAAGTCATAGGAGCAAAAACAACAGTAGGCCCAGCCTGGGAACCAACTGAGGGTTTTATTCATATTTAGGTTATGCACAAGTTGGCCTCAGAGCTTATTCAAGCAAAAAGTGCCTATGGATTACAAGGGAAATTCTCTACTTGATTTGGCCACATGTGGAGTTTAAAGCAGCAGAAAGAGAAGCTGAATCCTGACAACCTGGCCTTGAATGTCCTTGAAGTTTATTTCTTTACATGCAACTGTACAATTCAGACATCCTCCAAGCCAGCCAAAAAGGTTTCTTTGTGTGCTGGTTAAATCAAGTTTCTGAGGTAACCCATATCGGATCACCTTTACTTGCCCTTTTCCCCTTATGATGCCCATAAAAGTACTTTGTCCGAAAATTCTATGGCAAGTCTGTTGCTCTTCTGTATTTTTGATTTGTTCCTTATCACATTTACCTTCAACCACGACTCAAACCACACCTCACAGGAGTTGATCCTCTGCTTCAGTCAGATCCTTTCTCTTTTTCTGTATCTCTCACTTCTGGTGAACAATACCATTTCTGTGAGCGATCACCACCTCCAATGCGAAAATATCTCATGCAGACTCACTGCTTTCCCTCTGATAAGCAGCCGTCCTTCTGTTTCCTTCTTTCTCCTTAACAACACTGTACTGCTTTTTGCAGATGCTTCCATTTTCCTCTTCTTTAGACTCGCCTAACTGGTCACAAAGTTTTATCATATCTTCTTTCATGTGACTCTGAGTCCTTTTCTCTAGAGTCTCTGCACACCTGGCAAGGAAGTCAGTTATGTCCCCATGATATAGAAGAAGGCAGGAGATGGATCTTAACTGAGTCAGAGGTTCACCTCAAATGCTGGACATAGATACAGTTCAAAGGTCAAGTGCAGAATAGAGCCAAAGAAGGAAGTCAAAAAGTTATTACTATAATAACAAGATCAGTGCTTATCAGGCCTTCATGATTGGTGGAGGTTATAAAAGATATCAAGAAATCAGGAGTAGGATCTATTTTTTCATCTTTGATCCCCAGAGCCTACATGTTGACTCTTCATGGTAAGCATCCAACAAATTAACTAAATATGAGACAAGAATTTAAATTCTGACTTACCTGTCACTCAAGACCCCATATTAAGGCCATGTTTTCTCATTTCCACTATAAACTATCAGGTAGCAATTGGGGAAGAATATTAGACAGAAATAATATCCATCAATATTAGTTTTATATATCTAGAGAGATGACCTGACATAATGAATACATAAGGAGGCAGGGAATTTTAATTTTTAATAACATCTTTGTTGGGGGTTGACTTATGTCTCAAGTGTTAATGTCACTTTTAAAAGGCCTTTTTAAAGATTTCTTTAGGAACAAGTAATGTTGAGATCAAAAACATTTATCTACCAGATTTTTTCAGCTATTTTGTGGCTTCGAAAAAAATTTCCAAAGACTAAATCACACCGAGATTCCAAAAATACTACCTCTCAAAAAATACAGAGGAAATGAAAATGATATGATCTGGTTGTGATGATGAAAAGAACTGAGAATGGCAGAACAGTATTTGTAATTAACGTGACTCAATATAGTATATCATTATATTAAATATATATAATAAATACATATATATAAAGTTAATGTATTACATATTAGTAGACATTTAATGCTTTCTTGTAAATCACTAAAAGCTGTATATTCCAAGTGGTCAAATACTTTTTTATGGACCATTTCATTGAGAAATATGAAATATGCAAATTGACTTCTATTGATTGAGTGAAATAACAAATGAGATATAAATATTAGGGAACAAAAATTGAACATTAGTATCAGAAACAATTTGTTCACAAATCTGTTGAGCAAACACTGATTGAGATATTTTGTGTAAATAAATTAAATAATAATCAGACTAGTTTGATGCTTACAGTCTACCTTCCACTGGAATGTTGATTTATAAAGAAGAAAGGTTTTTCTTTGAACTTGTTAATAATTGGAAACATACAGTAGAGTAAAAAAAGATATAATATCCATACAGCTGCCAACTATATTCAACTTGTTGTTAACATTTTCTCAGAGTTATTTATGCATATATGCAATGTGGTGAACCATTTGAAATAAAATTATAGATGTCATAACACTTTCCCTCTTAAGGCTTCAGCATGCATCTATAAGGATTAAAATACCCTCTATGTAAATATAATATTACTATCATCCCTAAAAATTAATAATTCCTTAATAAGATATAGTTCATGTTTGGATTTGCATAGTTTTTGAAAATGTACCTTTTTAACCTGATTTTTCCTACAAAAAATTTAAAACCCAGAATCTAGTGAAGGAATACACACTGCATTTGCTTGTTGCTTCTATGAAGTGTCCCCTCTATCCTTTTCATCTATGAGAACTGACTTTCTGAAAAGACTAGGCCAATTGTCATATAGAAAGTTCCAAATCCTTAATTCTATTGTTTTCTTATGTCATTTATCACGTACCTCTATCCCAACATTTCTTGTCGTATAGATATTACATATAAAAGCTTCACTAAATCCAGGTTAAATGTTTCATGGTGTTGTTGTGCATTATTACATCATAATAAGAGCATAGACGGGCTAGTTGTTCTAACATTGCTGATGTTTTTATTACCTGGTCAAGGTATTGACCCCAGGTTTGTGATTAAGGAGTATTTATGGGATTGTACTTTGGCATCTTAAAAACACTCTATTCCTCATTAATTTTTCAACTAATGGCTTGAGTATCTGTTGAGAACTTTTTTTCTTAAATCAATTATTTCATTAGAGCTTGTAAAATAAAAGTTACATATCTATTTATCCTCCTCAATGATCAATTTCCAGTTTTTTCTAAATAGCTTTTACAATCTTAAACATATTCTTTAAAACTGTGAAGGTTTAAAGTCCAACATTTTAAGCAACATAGTGTATTTTTAATGGAAAATTGCTAAACTTGGGTCTTTTGTATTTTCAGCAAAACGGGAAGTCACATATTCATCCTAAGCCCATTCTTGAGCCCTTTGAGGAAGCACCTCTTCATGCTTTGGTTTTCACTTACATGGGATATGGAATTGGAACCCTGTTTGGCTATTTCAGAGACTTTATGAGATATTGGGGAATTGAGAAATGCAATGCAGCAGTAGAGCGAGAAGAACAAAAGGTACGTATGCATGTGCACCTCCCTGAATCTTTGTCAATGTCTACTCTTCTCTAAAGTCTTCTCAGAGCAATGGTGTGGGAACAGAACCTAGAAAGACTAGAACTCAGGAACTATTCAGAAAAAGTTCTGTTCATCCCTACCCTTAAATCCCACCCCCTGGATTTTTATGGATTTGTTTTTAAAAAATATTTATTAAGTAACTACTAATTGTCAGACACTAAACATAAAGTTTTCCTATACATTATAATGTTTAATTTATAATAACAACCTTATGTGATAAATATTAAAATATCATTTTAAAGAAAAAAACATCAAAATGTAAGAATAAGGTCACCAGAGAAGGACTATACTCTGGTCTTCTAATTGTAGTGTGAGTATTATTTATGCTCTATTCTAAAATAGGAACATGTGTTTTAATGAAATGCGACATTTCTATTTCATCTAGATCAGGGTTTCTAAATTTCACATTACTGATATACTGCAATGGTCTGTGTTGGAGACTGTCTTGTGCATTGTAAGAATTTTAACAGCATCCCTAGTCTCCATCCACCAGATTAGCCATCAACACACACACACACACACACACACACACACACATACACACACATATCCCACACACACTTGTGACAATCAAAAATTCCTTCAGACACTGCCAAATGTCTCATGGGAAACAAAATCTCCCATAGTTTAGAAACATTTAACTAGCATTTTTAATATTTATCCTATAAAAAAAGTCTACGTCATCTTGGTTTTGTATCAAGCTGGGTGGACAACTTTGAACAAGATCTTGAATTGTGTTAAAATGTTTTCCAAACTGTTTCAAAGGATTTATGAGCCATAAATCTCTTTTATTTCTAAAACTTGCATTAGGACACTGTGAGCATGGTCATGGATCAGTCCTTGAACATATCTAAGAAAAGAACATAGGTGACTCATGAACTTCAATGTAACAAGAGAAACGCCAGTAACTTCTCAAGTAGTATTCATGGTAACATATACATTTATTTTAAGATACACCCATCAACAAATCATGTGAAACATTTCTTTTGGAATTTCCTTAATCCAAGTATATTACACCTCTAGAAGAAAATCAGACCCAGCTTCATTATTATAATCCCTCCTACCTTTAACATGTATATAAATTCTCACTAGAGAATTTGAAGTCTGCAAACAGATTCACAAGCTATTCATATGCTGAAATGTGATGCTGGATAAGAGAGCAACACGGACCATAGGAATCTGTGCCTGGTGACTCTTTTAGAGAATCTTCATGCCCTGATGAGGCTTGAATAGTAAGCAGGAGTCTGCCTCAGAATAGTGAGCAAGGGTGCAGTGAGGCATTCTCAACAGGATACTGCTTTGTGCCAAGGCTTGTGTCAATTCCTCAATCAATTTGAATTCTTTTTGAGGATGTACTTTGTGCCAGGCACTGTGGCACAATCTAGGGATATAAGAATAACTAAGACAGATATAGCTCCTGCCCTCAGAAAGCTAACTATAAAAGTCAACAGAATTTGATAAGAGGTACATAAGTGAAGGTATCAGAGGAGCAAAGAGAAAAGTCTAACCTGAACTTGGTGTTCAATGAAAGCTGCTGGGAAGAACAGAAAGTCAAATTGAGATCTGAAGTTCTGAAGAACAAATAGTAAGGCAAAGGGTGAGGCAAGATGCAGGGTTTGGGTGGGTAGGAAGAGCGAATGTGTGGCAAGATGGTTCAAGTAAGAGAAAACATTGTGTATTCAAGGAACCAAGGAATTCCAATGACCAGCAAATTATGAGTGGGAGTAGAATATGTGAGGAGAAAGACTGCTTGAGAGTCAAAGAGGGGCCAGACAACAATGGGTTTTTATAACCCATCGAAATTTATTATAAGAACAATGAGAAAGCATTGAGGATTTCACTGAAGAATGAAGAGTTGAAGATTTAGAAATATTGTTCCTTCTTCACTCTGAGAAAGGGATTTCAGAAAGATAACATAAAAAATCTAGGTGAGACAGTTGAACTGGGACCAAGGTAGTGGCAATAGGAGTAGTGATAAAAGATGTTTAAGAGGTGGAGTGAGAGATGGTTAATCGAACCTGGAGAATTAGGGAGATGGACAAAGCAAAAACCATAGCCAGGATTATTCCTTGGGCAGATTCATAGCAGTTACTAACATTCATTGATATGGGAAATTGAGGGAAAAGATCCAGTTGGAAGGGAAACATGATAGATTATTTTTGGCCAAGTCAAGTTTGAAGAATTGACAGATAAATTTAAAGATCTGGACCTCCACAGAAAAGTCTCAAATGGATCATTGGCATCCTCAGAGTATCTTCAGCATAAAACATTAATCAAAGCCAGAAAAGTGAACATGGTCTCCTGATAAAAGCCCAGAGAGCAAAAAGAGAAAGGGTGAGAAGAATACAAACCAGAGAATTGAATAGGTGTCAGGAATGGAGTTCAAATTCAAGACTAGAAGCAAAGTGACAATAAAGTTTACAATAGTTTAGAAAGAGATTATATGTGCTTGAATTAGGGAAGAGGTAGACAGAATGAAAAAAACTAATTATAGAGCTATTTAGAAAGTAATAAACAAGTCTTGGCATTTGGATGCATGGAAGATAAGATAGAACAATAATTATAGGGTAATCCCAAATTTCTTGCTTGAACATATACACAGATAGCGATGTCATATCCATCATAGGGGAGTGGTTCTATATTGACAAATGATGGTGGTGATAGTAGATACAGTGACGTATTCAGTCTATCACACAAGGACCTCTGCCGATAAGAGGTCCCTTTATAGTCATCCTGAATGGAGGAATGGGGCTGAGCCTTTGGACTCCTGCACTGATAGGGGCCGCTGCCAGGTATCTAAGTTGAGGAAGTTCCTTTGAAGCCCAGGCAATTCTTAAAGAGCAATAAGCCTCCAGGGCTCCTGGCAACTAGGAGAATAGGCAGGTCAGTCCTGAATGATGGGCTGAGGACAGCACACAATGGCCTGTACTTCAGAACCTGTCCCCGTTGTTATGAGAATTGATTGGCCCAATGCACAGGAAGAAGGCATTGCATTAAGTGCACCAATAATACACGTCTTTACAAAATAAATGGTTTCCACCCTTTTTTTATCTCTATGAGGCAAGGAGCATCAGTCAACAGTATCACTTGGTAAGTATGCCTTTTATGTGGCATACCTTTTATTATTATTTGTCTTATCCTTTTAATTCTTCCCCCAGCCCCTTACTTCTTACAATATTTTTGTTTTATGTTAATAAGCTATCTAATGCACATCTTGACATTTCTTGTTGAAAACATGAGATACACTATTTTTCAATGTCAGCTTGGTTTTTTTTAGCAGAAAAAATCATTATTATATTCTAAAACTTGGTCACTAGGAGTACAGAATACAGCCTCATAAAATAAACAGGCCATGGGCAAAATGACACCAGAAATGACAGTGTATTCATAAAGTAGTGGTAGAGAAGAATAATTATGTTCCTCTCAAAAATCACAAAAGGATGTTTTTATTTCTGATATTACTCTGCTTTCTTTTTCTTAGTGTAATCTAAGAACTCATTAATCTAATGATCCTACTTTCTTTCTCACCTCACTTGTTCCATACTATCCATTCAAATGGAACTCTTGTCCTGAATTTATTTTCTAAATTAATGTTATTTTTATTATCATATTATTGTTGTACTAGGATACATTGTGGCATTTACAAAAATGCTTACAAAGTCTTAGTTAAATTCACCCTCTCCATCAGTCTCCTTTATCACCTTCCCCTCCTTCACAGAATAGTTTCAACAGGTCTCATTTTTTCCATTTCATGAATGACTACAAAATATTTCCATCATATTCACTCTCCTCCACCCTTTTCTTATATCCTTCCCCTTCCCACTGGCAGCAACCTGCAAACAAGACCTTAGTTTTACTTTCCTGTCCTTGACATTTTTTAAAAAAGATTTTTTTTTTTGATTAAGGAGTTTCATTTTGACACTTCCATGTATATATATGTGTCATATCCCAAATTGGTTCATCCCCTCCATTTTTCTCCTTTCTACCTTAGTCTCCTTCTTATGGTAATTTCAACAGGCTTAAATATTCTATATTAATTTTCATATAGAAACATACTCACCTCTAAATTTAAAATTTTTATTTGCTTTTTCCTAATTTCGATTTCTAGCCAAAAAATCTGAAACAGACTCTCAAACATAAAGGCTCTGATAATCTTTATCTGCTTCACTTGAGTATTAACTAAGTGGAAAGAATAGAAAAATCAAAATAACTTTCTATAAGAGAACTAAAAAGAGAAATCACAACCCAGAGCACATGGTCCCCAGATAGACCCCAGCATGAAAATGAACAATACAAATATATACAAGGTTGAAACATTTTGCTTACTGTTTCCATGCAATTCTTCATGTTGAGGTGACTAACTTGTGTTGTTTTTTTCTTTAATCAAAGGCAACTATAGAGATCAAATATAATTTCTCATAGGCCTGTGGAAAAGTTACTTTCCTAATGATAGAACAATCCAAAATTAGCAAATATAAACAATGTCAGTCATACAAGAGAACTTAAAAACTTCAAGAATAGCTCTAATTACCCAAGAAGAGAAAACGAATTTCTCTAATACCAGTTTCTCCAAGACCCAATGTAATGTAACACCAGCATAGTATAAAACTTTGCAGCTGAGATTCTGTGTTCACATTAGATACAGATAATCCCCAAAACCTCTGCAAGTAAATCCAAGGCACTTTTGGCTCATTCCCAGAGATTTTAATTCCCACCGAAATAAAGAGGTTTAAGCAGGTTGAAGCTAAATAATATTTTAAACAAATATCCAAAGGTTTGCATGAATTGAAATTTTTCACATGGCAACCATGATTTACATCCTAAAACAACAGCAGTATTAGCCCAGAGGGACTTTCTTCTGAGTAATTTGAAGGATATGGTCCATTGATGTTACTGGAGGCAAGCTATGGTATTGTACAGAGCAAACAGACTGTTCAAGC